AAACGCAAGACAAAAGGACTTTAGACGATGAACTAGTCACTTCAACTTACCCATGCTCAGTAGCGCCACCAGAAATTCCTGATATCAACCGAGTTTTTTAAATACTTTTTACAATACATAGCGACACCACCACTACTCCTCTTGATCTTCCTATCTGTTCTATAAAGTGTGTACCCCTTAATGTCAAAGTGGGCGTATTTTAGTTCAGGTCTAAACCAAGTCTCGGATACACAAATGACATCAACACTAGATAATTCGAATACTCCTCTCATCACATCCATTTTTTCATTATTCAAGCTGCGCGCATTAAAGTGCACAACGTTGAACCCCTTTTGGCGCCTACACAAAATGTTCAGCATTGCAAGGCTATTGTCTTCAATCCTATTCGCCGTTCTATTATTCGCACTCATTTAAAGCAGCAGAAGTAAAAGCAACTTTAAGGCAACAAAAATGAAGACAAAACAAGAAACCGAGACAAAACAGAGTTTCGCTATCTTTACATTACAAAAACAAACAAAATAATAAACATACAATCAAACAAACACATAAGATTACAACTAGCGAAACTGCTCCAAATCCTCTTCTCACGAAATTTTGGTAGGTTGGCTTGCTTTATCATTGGTTAATCTTACATGCACACAACCGCGGAGTGTGAATGCAGACTGCAACTTCCCCTCACGCCGCAGTTTTATGGCCGCTTGCAAAAGTCTATTTTCTTTGCCTAGGCCTTCAAGTAGGTGAAAATTCCCCTGGATGCCAAGGGTTTGCAGGGGAACAGCAGACTTCATACGCCTGCGATAGTCGCCAAAAGCACGGAGAGTGCGATTGCGATCAAGAGGGGAATGAAATTTGATCACAATCGCACCATTGAGGCCAGCACGTGAAGGCCTTGTGCGGAAGATGTCTCTTATCTGAGGAGCCAAAAAGTCGACTGACAGGCAGACCTGGTTGAAGATGCTCTTCAGATTTTCCCCTTCCTTATATGGAACGCCAAACGCGACGGCATCCGCAGCAATGTCAGCAGTCGATCTCTGCTGTACTCCCTTCGCTAATTCCGCTTTCAAGCACTCAATTTCTGACTCCGACTTTTCCAATCTCTCCTTCAATGCCGAAATGTGCGTAGATGATTCAGCTACAGCAGCAGCGAGTAACGAAATCTCCTCCTCAAACCGTTTTGTCAATTTGTTCTCCAGTTCCATAATTTTGTGTGAGACACTCTCGATTAGCGGCCGCAACTGCTCAGTCTGCTGCCGTACCCTCTTTCAACTTATTGTATACAGCTGTGGGTGTGATAACTGCACCTTCATCAAATTTAGCTGTTTTTGCAGAGGAGGGGGAGCAGCGGTAGACATAACAAACCAGCGGCAAAACAAACAAACGAATTGATAGCGATTTGATTTATTTAGCGCAAGAAAATTTAATAAATTATTGTTGCACACCGTACTTGAAATAGCGAATAAATATCGTAATGTTCGCACGCGGTTAAAGTAATCAAGTTTAGTTTTATTTGTTTTATTTATGTAAATTATAATCCGCACAACCATGCAAAAAAAAAGTGCGGGAGCGAATTATAAAACACGTCCGTTTATTGTTCCTGAAACCATTTACTTTTAATAATATTTAATAAAAAATGCATTTAAATTTATGTTCGAAAGTTTGAAATATTTATGTGTTTAGTTTTGCTTTTAATTAATAGTCAAAAAAATTTACACCAATTATTGGAAAATCTAAGGCAGCTTAATAACAATGTGTAATATATTAAAGTGTACTAAATCAAAACTTTTTTACTTTATATTCATGAATACATTTTATTTCTTGACTCTCAAAGTAGTGATTTTGGTCCATAATTGGGCTAGTATTTTTCTGTATATTTTAAACTAGTATGGGACTGGTATATTTCTAACCAAAATCTGACAATTGCCATCTCGTAGGACATCCCCATGTTAAAAATACCAGTTGGTTGCATGGAAAAAAAATAGTTGGCTGACTAGTTGGGCATGTGGGTCATACTAGTTGTGAAGTAGTTTACAACTAGTACATTTGACTACAGGGAATGTACATATTCGTAATAAAGTTTGCATTAAATTCTAAATTTTGGGAAAGCAATGTCACTGTGAGTGGACGTGTTTTTGTGGCGCTGCATTAAATCACGCTTTTAAAGTAATTACCAACCTTTATAAAGATAATAGCCTAATTTAGTTGAATATCTGTGCGAACGCCACCACTGCTGTAACTGATATTTGTTTACGTCGCATTTTTTCGCTTGATTTTCTTTTTCGTTTTAAAATTTCCTCTTGTCTATCAAGCGAGTGGGGATGCCTTTGCAAACTCAGAGAAAAAGTGCTCGTAACGCATCCTCTCCTCTGGAAACTCCCGTTCAAAACCTGCTAAGCAAAGAAGTAAACAGTCCAACAACGGTGAGTTTATTAGAGAGACTTGAAATGAAATTGGAGGCATCCATGACTAGCATAATGACGAAAATTAAAGAAAGCGAAGACCGAGCTATGCAGAAAATGTCTGAAGTTTGTGCTGATATAGCCACAGACAGACAGCTATGGAGGAGCGAGTGAGTGCGCTAGAGACGTTGCGCGAAAATGGTAACCAAAACAAAGATGTTATTACATTATGTCAGCAAGTGGATGAGTTGGAGAATGCGCTAGTGGCGACTGATGTTATCATTTATGGTGTTCCGCAGGTGCCGGAGGAGAATTTAGCTCTCTTGTTCTCACAACTATGCCAGGCGGTCAACCTGCCCCCACTTCCCGTACGCTCTACCTTTCGTCTGCGCGCGAACAAAAACAAAAGTAAGAACAGAGGTAGTAACCAGCATTGCCCAATTATCGTCAAACTAAACTCTGCGTTTGATCGCTCACAATTGTTTAAGGCGATTGCTACTTTTCTAAAATCTGGCCGAAATTCTCTGTCTTTGCGTAACATAGGATTGAATACTGACGAGAAGATCTTCGTACATGAATGCCTAACTAGGAATAATCGTGAGCTTATGCGAGTGGTAACTGAGCTAAAAAGACAAAAACGCCTTGTTAGTGCATTCTCTATTCATGGACAAGTCTACATTAGAAGGCGTGCCGCCAGTGAAGCGACTAGAGTGCATGATCGTGAAAGCGTTGATCGCATTG